GGCTCAGCATATTCCTTTCAAATCTTCAGAAAAAACCCTCTGTTGTCAGAATGGAGACGAATGTCAGATCAGACTTCACCTCCAAAGGAGCATAACACACTGCTGAATGCCATGGCAGCTTTAGCCAAGATCCGCCTGTTGACACAGTCAAAGTCATGGTCTCTTTACATTTGGCGATCACCCTCAGTGCTATTGTTCCAGCCAGCAAAGGACAAGCTTGCTTTGACATTTCCAACCAACCGAGTCGTGGTGCCATGCAGCCCTGTTCCTGCCGCACCAAGGACATTGCCATCTCGACTGCAGTCACCCCAACCTTTTTCTTTCGCGTTTCCTTCTTAACGTCAAGATTTTGGTGAGGCTCGTGGGACTCCGTGGGCCCCCTCTAGTGGGTAGCTGCTGCAAACGCCAGGCTCGACTCGGCGAGCTTTGACTTTTATCTTGAGTGGGGACAGTTCTGTGTCTGCCAACATGAACTTTGGAGACTGAAATCTCATTATTTGATCCTGTGGTTTTATTCCTTTAAAAGCAAATCAAATGTGTAACAAAGATTTTTGTAGATGATAAAATACGTGACACGAAGTAAATCCATGGACAATAGATAGCTTAGTTCTAACAGGGAACATTTGTATGTCTAGAAGTTTTGTAGCTGTGAGCAAGTACATTTGTATTAGTGTTATCATGTGAAATGAATTATTGTATTTTTTTTAAGAAAAAGCTTTCATGTTTTAACATAGCAGATGCCTTTGATCAGCCTGAATAGAATTATTTGTATGATAATTTGGAATTTAATTTTATTTAGAATATGTTCACTTAAAATTTTATATTGACTTTTGAAATGACGAATATCAAGAGTAATGCCCAGAATTCTCATGGGAGATGGAATAAAGGGAGAGTGATTGCTTGAGGAACTGGTCTTCTGAAATGCTGAGATGCCCGTGTGAACTTCTGTTGACTAAGGGACAATAAGCATTTCACAGAGGCTCTTACTGTGCAGAAATAAAACACAAAATAAGAAGATACACTATCTGTTTTAAAAGCTAATTTTGCTGATGATAGAAACAATGTTAGAGAACAGACATTTTAACTTCTTAGACACATGACTGAGCAAAACACTGATCACGATTTTACAATGGGAATTAAATCTAAGAGTTTATATTATTTTAGCTGTTTTATCTATGTGAAATGTGCAAAAGTTGATAGCAGATAAATTTCAAAGCAGATGTGCTTAGGATGTTGAAGCTCTGCAATGTTATCAGACCCAGCCACAGAGATTACATTTCAGCATTAGTGCTAAAACACTCATGTTTGAAATGCATATTACCTCTCAGTAGATAGTGCTCTTCCTTCCTTCCTTCCTTCCTTCCTTCCTTCCTTCCTTCCTTCCTGCCTTCCTGCCTTCCTGCCTGCCTGCCTGCCTTCCTTCCTGCCTGCCTTCCTTCCTGCCTTCCTTCCTGCCTTCCGTCCTTCCTGCCTTCCGTCCTTCCTGCCTGCCTGCCTTCCGCCTTTCTGCTCTTCCTTCCTTCTTCCCTCCCTCCCTTTCCCTCTCTCTCCTTTCTCTCTTTCCAATGGTCAGTCTGTTTTCCAGCACTTTTCTCTTTCCCCTCTTACCCCTATCTTCCTTCCCGCCCTCCTCTTTCCTCTCCCTCCCTCCCCTTCCTCCCTCCCTTTTCAGCCACCTGCTAGTCTGTCTTCCAGCACTTTTCTCAAACACCACTTCCCAAGTCGTGCTGTGACACCTCACCAGAACAGACTTCATGTTCACCATCTAGTGACTGCTTCCTGACATGTATTCATGCATTAACTCCTACAGGCCTTGCTACCTTATAGAATAAGGCAGCTGAGGGCTCATATTTTACTCTTTAGCATCCCTTTCACTGCTGTCCCTAAGGTGGTCCTCCAGTCATTTTATGTTTAACCTTTCCTGAAATCACTTCGCCTACTCTTACTCCTGACATTTGAGTGACTCATCTTGAGGGGTGAGATGTGAGGCAAGTGACATTAAGATAGTACAGTCAGCCAGTCAAACATGTGTTTGGACAGCCTATGTCCATAATAATACTTCTGCCTTGGAAGAGAGCTGTCTGGCTGAGAGGCAACATTGGTGGGTTTAATGAGCTGACGTTATTTCAGTATTCAAAGTGAGTGGGTTGGTAAATCATCATTAGCGTTATTAGGACAGTTATTCACACCTTTGTTGTAGATATTTGGTAACTGGCTATACATCACTTTCTCTGCAGCTGACCTTTTTTTTTTTTTTTTTCTCTTGGGATTCCTGATGTTTATAATAAGAATCCACTTATATATACATGCACAGCCATAGGCATACACATATGTATATTCATGCATGCATACACACGTGCTGAGATTTTGTTAATTGACCTTAAGTGTTGGTGTTTTTTTATTACAAAACGTATTTCTCTATTGATCTATTTTCACTGCTTTGTTTTAGCTTCATCTAATGCACTGGAACTCCACACTATACAGCAGCATTGATGAGGCAGTAGGGAAGAAGCACGGCATAGCTATTATTGCTTTGTTTGTGCAGGTAAGTTTCCTGTGTTGCACTTATTACCATGCACTATCATTTGAGGAAAATGAGTTCCTTTCCATTTTCTTTCATTTTTAATGATTTCATAAAATAAAACAATGTATGACTGCTGGTATTCCATTCAAAAGATACTTCTCAGTCATGTCTTCTGTGTATGTACTAAGTAATTATATTTTAAACAGGATATTGGAATTATGCTAGTTAAAGAGGAGATAATCCATAGTTGGCCATCTCTCTGTGACTCCATCTATGAGCAGACATCCAATCTCCATTCCTCTGAGGGCAGAATGAGGGCTATCAGGAGGTAACAAGTGTTTCACTGTCTCTGTAATGTGTTTTTCTCCATTCCTGGCCAGGCTTGCTGTTGAGGTTGAGGAAATACACAGAGGAGAGGAGAAATACACAGAGGAGAGGAGAAAAGAGGGAAAAATCCTACTAATTCATTGGCACAGCTGAACACTGGTAGTAGGGTTGTGCTTTTCTGAACACAGGGATGGACGAGTGTGTTACTTCACACAGGACACATGTGAGGTGGGGTCATATTACTTCTTCAGAGATGCCAGACAGAGTGGAACAAGTCTTACCACAGACCCTCAGAAAAGCCTGTAATGAAGAGGCTTAAAGCTTGCTGTCGGGAAGGTGTAATGCAAGCTGGGAAGTTAACCCCATAATCCAATTGCTGTTGAATGTTTTTCAGGGGCTGCACCCTATAAAGAAGATTTTCAGTTTTAGTCCTCCAACACCAGATTCTCATCCTCCTCACAAGAAATGGCAACTTCTTATTTAAATGGGTTTGGAGGAAGAGGGTTAGAGTTTGTGCTTAGATCAAATGGATTTTCTTTCACAGTGATATTAATTTATTGTATTTCATAATGAGTTTATGAGTGCCTTTGAGCTTTACCTCTGTTTGAATTTAAAGGTACATTGGTTACAGCTCCAATACTCAGAGAGAACTGCTAAAAATGGAAGTTAGAAAGTCTTCAGTTTTGTATCCTAGAGGGCTGTGTGATAATTGCTTATGTAAGTCACCTTCTAATTCCAGCAGAGGTAACCTTTGAGTTAGTTAGAAAGTTATAAGTTCTTAAATAAGTCTGAAACTTCAATGATACATTCTCCATTTCTGGTCTCTCACCTTCATCAGAGTTCTTAAGCATTCCACAGGGCTTTTTCATTAGCCAAGAAAGGCATCATATAATTACAATTGGCCAAGGAAAAATAGTATTTATGCTGTTTAATAAAGAAACAGGGAGATGAAATTTGGTGACCATTTTTTTCCTGTTGAAGGCTCGGAAGTATAATAGTTTTGCACCACAGTTCTCAAACACATCTCTTTGAGGTCAGTGAGAATCTTTTCACTGATTTGACAGTCCTTCGTGCTTACTAATTTAGAAACAGTGCCTTTGAAGGGTTTTTGATATCTTTTATGCACTTGAAGGTTTTAAATTGAAATCCCATTCTGAAACAAAAGAAAATCATCTTAAATTCCTAGAAATAACAAAGTACCTTTTGTTGACATTCGTTAGTTTCCTTCCAGAGAGTACTGTGCCGTTCTATGCAAGAGAAACAAAAAGCAAACAAATTTTTCAGGGTCTATCTCTCTCGTTCTCTTACTCATGCTCACTTCTCACCTTGTATGTGTACATGTTGGCAAAGAAATCAAGTGGAAGGCCATTCTGTCTTCCTGTTTTCACAATATTGTTCTGAAGGGAAAAGCTATGGTCCTAGAATGGGTGATTTAGATGAGAAGCAGCTGAAATGGGCATGCAGAACGAACAACGAACAATGTTCATAGAACATAAGAATCTCTTATTTCAGCAATGGGTTCCTTTTGAAAGCCCCATCTTCTGTGCTTTAAAGGCATTTGGTAAAGTCAGTGCTGCAGGCTGCTGGGAGCCTGGCTTTTGCCAGCAGGATCCCAGAGATGCTGTGAGGGAGGGGATCTGCCATTCTGCACTCTGAAGACAGGAAAGAAATCCCCCAAGCTTCAGAGGTACCTTGGGCCAGATTTACAGCACTGTGGGAACACGTTCAAAAAGTGTTTGTCGTGATTGTTCACTCTGTTCCTTTCTGTGTACTTTTCTGACAAGAAGTGGTAAGGTCAAACCGTATCCTTCGCATTTATATGCCATAATGCAGTGTGATTTTGACTCCACATGCAGTATATACTGCAAGACAGGATTAATCAAAACTTGCCAAACTTAACTGTGACTCTTGTTCTGTGAGTTTCTGCCTCTGCTTTAAAGTTATTTACACCTCATTTACTTCTGACTGGTGGCTTTATAGTGATTTAATTGTTTGGAGTTGCCATGTGTCGGTATATGTGGTTAACTCAAGGTTGTGTAGCTTAACTAAAAACAACTACAGAATTTACTGTTCTGGTTGACTTCTGTCTTGCCTCACAGTTTCTGGAATAGCAAAACACTGAAATTCATCTCTGCTTGCTGTATTTCAGATAGGAAAAGAGCATGTAGGCCTAAAGGCTGTAACTGAAATTCTCCAGGACATCCAGTATAAGGTAAGGCATTGTTTGAAGAAATGCTTCCTTCACTGACCAGAGAGACAGTAAGTGAGAGAATGGTCTATATGAAGCCAAGAGAAGGATTTCAGATGTGTCTGTAGTAAAACCATGTGTGGAAGCCATCTCTTGATGGCCTGTATCAGAACCTCAGCATTTTACAGTATTCAGATAATATACAGTCTTTGTAATTACTTCCTTTTCTGATGGCCAGAAAGTTTGATCTCCTATACCAATAACTGATTGCAAATACTGCTTTTTCAGTGATTTATCATGGAGTCAGTGTGAATTCAGGCACTACAATATGCTTAGTGAACACAAGCGGCAGTATCTCTACATTTAACAGGTTTTAATTTGTACAGGAAAAGAATAGATAGAGCACCCGTATTAACTTGCAGTGGGAAATCAGCAAAACCACAATGCTGTCTTGTCAGGTGGATTATGTGTGGGTATCCTGAAGGACAGATAATAATCCTAGCAGGACTGAGGACATATGAGTGCTCTCCAGAATGTTGGTGCTGTCTTAAATGGCCTTGAGCAAGTTACTTCAATTTTTCTGTTTCATAGTCTTTGTCAGTAACATAGAAATAATCATACTTACCTTTGATTTTAAAGGATTTTGAGATGTGTTAATGAGATGTTCTGTATTGGTCTGGAGAGATTAGCCATTCCCTTTCAGTAGATGCTGAGGCAGAGAAATTAGAAGCTGTTATTAGAAGGGAATTGAAAATCCTCTTTTCATAAATAATAGATGGTAAACTTCAGTCATGATGTTTAATATTACAAGCTCATTGTTTATGAAGGTGTCAGAGAAAAGAGTAGTTTATGGAACTTTGTAGTTGTATTACTTAAAGGACAGCCAAGTACAGGAAGGTCATGAAAGGCCTCATCATTGTGAGCATGTAATACTAATGACTTACAGAGGGTCAGCATCAAACATACTTTTGGCATACATAAAATTTGCTTGCATTAAATATGTGGAACGAGCTTTATTTTATTAAGTGTTATCCATGTTGGTCAAGGAAAAGCTCACTTTGTCCTTTGTTTTTTAAACTCATTTTGTTTGGAACCCCAGAATTTCATGTAGCAAATTTCAAGGCTGGGACTTGGAGTCCAGGTACTAAAGGCAGAAAGTTAACAAATTGCTGAGATAACCTCAGAAGTAAAATATAAAATAGAATAAAAAAAAGTGTTTGTGAAGCTGCAAGGACAAATGCAATGATGATTAGATGCAGACTGTTAATGAGGTTGCTTTGCACAGGAATTCAAGGCTTAATGGTATAGGAACACACAGTGTGTTTTACCTCTCCATTCATCATAATTTTAATAAGAAATTAGAGATGAGATTGATTTGTATTCATTTTTTCAGGGAAAGTCCAAAACAATACCCTGTTTTAATCCCAACTCTTTATTGCCAGGTAGGTGCCTTTGCTTATTTTTGTGTGTGTGTATTACTAGCTAACCGCAGAGGCTGAGACAATCTTGATCCAAAGCATAGCCTAATTACAAGCCTGAGAGCACGTCCCATAAAGTGGTAATGCATTTTGCGCCTAGTGGTGCGTACAGAGATAGGGATGAGGTCCCTTTGGAATTTAGCATAAATCTGCACCTTCGTGGTGTGAGTGGGATGCGGTACTGTAGTCCATGCACTGCTGGCAGCACTGTGGCTAGCTTTCTTGATGATTTATCATCCCACCTAGAGGGGGAGCTGTGTGTACTCATTTCTCAATTTTGGCCTGAAATAGGAAGGTTACCCACTTACCAAGGCAGCTTTTTGGCAGCATCAAAAGACAATGCCATAATGCAATGACAGTAGGGACAGGAATAGTGACAATGGGAGGGAGGCAAATTCAAATTCATATAGCTAAAAGTTAAAGAGTAACAGTAAGAAACAACCGCTTCCTCTGCATTGTCTTGAAAAAAAAGTGACTTTTTAAAAAATGCATTTCTACAAGATGACAGTGTCTGCAAGGAATCTTTCTGAGCTAAACTGCATATCATAGAGGCAGGATCTTTAATTTTGCAGAGTAATCCAGGTCTACATTAATCTATGTTACTTATATCAAAAGAATATTGTTTAGGTTGCAAAGTCAAGTGCTCAGCAATTAGGAATTGCAGGAATTAAGGCTGCCTGTGCCCCTTCATGCATATGTGTTATAAAACATCTTTTAATTGCGCAACTGTAAGTTATTTTTTACAGGACCCCTGCCTCATAGTTCCTGTTTGATGCTGATCAAGTCACATAAACCAAAATATTCATAAGTCATCTCTAACTATGTGTTCCTCACTTTCTAGGTGCCCGTCTTGAGATCATGGGGTCTGATTTGCAGAAGTGCTGAGTGCTTACACCTCCAACTGAAGTCAATGGGAGCAGTGCTCTGACTGCATTAAGTGCTATAGAAAGTTAACTACTCTGAGAAATCAGGTTCTAAGCATCTCATATTGAACATCTCAGATAGATGCATTTGACCTTCACTTCTCTGTGCCTCAGTTCCCCAGCTTTAAAGTGTGGGGGCAATCTGTCCTTCCTCACCAGGGTGTTGGATGGATAAATTCATGTTTGTGAAGCACTCAGACACTGAAGAAATGAGTGCATTAGAAATACGAAAAATGAAAAAATGTGGTCCTTCTAACAAGAAGGATTTGAATAGCATGGGAAAAAGAAGACCAAGGACCACATATTTACTAAGAAATCCAAATTCAAAAGAAAATCATCCATCTTTGCAAGTAAATGATGAAAGATTTTCTAGAAGAGACATACGTGATCATGTAACAAGATGGTGGCACAATGCATGCACAGGATGGGCTGAATTAATTCTTGCAGTTCTTAACTTTTGAGTGTCTGATAATGCAACTTACTTTCAGTGGATTTGCTATGTAATTCCCTAAGTGAGAAAGAAAATTACACCATCAGAGCAAAATCCATTCACTGACAATCACATGCTTCATTAGCAAGATTTAATTCTACTGATACTACTCTGAGCTAGTGGTGAAATGGCAGAAACAGGTTAGGTCAGCCAAGCAAGTTTGTTTCCAGTCTCCCATTCTGTCCTTGTCAAGCTAGTCACAACCTTCCCCCTAGCTCTTCATGCCATAATTAACCACCCTTTGTCTCCAGTTTCTCTCTAGGTTTGTTTTTTGTCACCTCTTTTACAGTCAGTTTCCTCTCCATACTTAAGCTGTGTCAGGGAGTCATTTGTGAGTATGGCCTATAGCAGCAAAGGAGAGCACTGTGTACTTACAAAGTGCAGCGTGACTGGAAGCTTTGAGGAATTAAAATAATTCAAATCAAACGTTTTTTAGCGTTAAAACTCTGCTTGGACAAACCATTATACGTTTTCTCGACAGATGTTTATTTTAATGGTTATTTATAAAGCTATTACTAAGTTGATAAACTTAGTAAAATATTTTTTTTCTTAAATAAACCTTGTTTTTTTTCCCCTGTGAAGTTCAACTCACTTTTCCAAAGCTAGGAGGCACCAGTGCATCTCAAAAAATATGTCACCATAATTGTGAACTGAAAACTTTGGCTTGAGCTGTTTTCACTGAATTTTTCTAAAAATGAAATAAATTAATGCTTGAGACATATCCTAAATGTAGAAGTCAGTTAAAATTTGATCACCACAGCCCTTCTGCCTTCAAAATGGGATGTCTTTTGTAGCTTTTGACACTAACAGAAGTTCTTTCCCATCATATTATTTATTTGCTACTAATTTAAGGAGTTGTGCACATGTTATTTTTCACATCTATAAAGTAGCATTTCCATCTTTAAACTACTTATCTGCAGGGGGAAGTTGCTGTAATATAATGACCACAAGTTCATGTACATTCACAAGTGAAAGTAGTGGACAGTGCTTAGCAGGTTATAAATTCACATCTTAGCTTACTGCATACTAACTTCATCATATGAGCAAGCCCATGGCTATCATAAGCTGTCATAATTGAAAGACACAGTTATATTCCTTAATGTCATTAAAATTCCACATTTCTTTTAATTTCAGATCCTCTTCTGCGTGACTACTGGGTGTATGAAGGCTCTCTAACCATTCCACCCTGCAGTGAAGGTGTCACCTGGATATTATTTCGCTATCCTTTGACTGTGTCCCAAGTGCAGGTAACAGCTGTGCTTAAAGTGACCTTGGAATATGGTTATGAGCTAAAGGTTATAGCGTGCAAATATATATATCAGGACATTATATCTGTTCTCCTTGAAGATCCCATTAGATCAGTACATGGCTTTTCAAGTAAAGGTTAAGCCTTTTGAGTCACTGAAAGCAATGCAAAGGTCAGAGATGAAAAAGCTTGTTATCATTTATCATCTGCATTTAAAATAATTCTTTATTTAAGTGAAAGAAAAAGAAAGAAGTCAATGGGCAAAAGAAGTTCAATTCTTTGTAATTGTAAGCTTTCAAATATCACTGCTTTTTGATGTTAAAGGAACAAAAAAGCACAGGGAGACACTATGTCCTGGAGAATGAAAAATGTTAACATAGTACAGGCTAGCTATATTGCATTGAACTATATTTAACTTATCTTGCTCTTTTAAAATTCTGTGTTGTAATAAATGTCTAACGGAAAGTACCTATTTAAATTTAATTTCACATGTTTGTATTTGAAAGTTGGGGGTTTTTTTTTAATATATCTAACAGTCATGTGAGCCTTTCTATAGAAAACATTTCAAATCTGTCTACAGATAATCTCAGTAAAAACATTGAAAACTCCTGATGAATATTCTCCCACAGTTTGTGAGTCCAAGCTGAAGGAATGTGGGTTTAATTTAAGTGAAACTATCTAGAATTCCTGAAGCTGAATGCATTAATTTTCATTGCCTGCTCTGAAGCATGTGCAAACAGAAGGGGAAAAAGTATGAAAGGTGATAAATTCAGATTTTTTTTTTTTCAGCTTTAATAATCTAAAATTTTGCTAGTAATCCCAGCACAATTTTTAAACAATTTTAACTATTTGAAATTGGCAGTGTTCTTTTCATATGAAAACTGTATTCTAGTTCTAGTCATAGGATAAAAGCAATAGCTCCCAATAAGCTTATTTGTATGGTAGCTGCAACTTCAATGTATCCCATCATGAATCTGATATTTATTTGCTTATGAAAGGGTAAGTCTTATGGCTGCCTACTACTGAGTAAATGGAAACAGAACTCTGTTGGCATTATTGGATTCAGAATAACTTTTAAAGACAGAGTGCATTTCATAACTTGGCAGCTAGTTGTCCAGATATGATATAGATAAATAAGAGGACTTAATCAGAAGTATAAAGACTGTAGCTATTACACTGAGACATTGTATGATATTTTATTTCATTCTAGTTGCAGATTTGGTAGTCTCTATTCCCTTTTAATCCAGGCAATGAATAGAGAAGGGCACAGTTCAAGCCATCCACATGTGGTGGGAGATGATGGGAGGTGAATGAAAGAGGAATTAAGCAGGGACATGCAATTTTAGTTAATATTATTATGTACTCATTTACCACAAGAAAACAAGATGATGGAAAATGGTATGGAGGGGATAAATCTCCAGAAGAAGTACTGTGCCTGGGGAAAAGAATGACCCATAGTGCCTGAGGAAATGTGACTAATAACCATGGCCGCCTTTAGGTGAGGGGTGGCTGGTTTGTGTTGCTGCATTACTTTGATTGGTATAAACACAATCCAGCAAGAACACTGCAGTGATAGAGGGTGCACAAGTCATGGAGGGTTTTTTCACTGCCACTGACACAGTATGCAGATGAGATGTGGCACTGGAGCAGAGTGAGAGATTGGAGAGGACTTCTTTGATCCATCATATTTGTACTTGTAGATCAGCAGCATCTAGAAAAAAAATCCTCACTGCTAGCTATGAATGTAGCAGCATTAAAATCAAGGTTGTACAAAAAAGACATGAAGGACTTTTGCCAAGGTGGGATAAAAATTTTACTTACATCAGATACTGCTTTCAGATGTCAGTCAAATATGGGGACAAGCAAGTGAGAAACAGTGATTCTGGGTTTCTGAAGTCAAAAGCAACTGAGAATTCTCCAGGATGCCCAAAATAAGATTTTGGAGGTGCCAAAATATTTTGCTATAGCCTAAATATCCAAGATTTTAACTTGCAACTAGCATTTCTTGCTAAGACTTTTTTTTTTTTGAGACTTTTTTGCCTCAGTCTTTGGTGGTCAGGGCTCCAGCCACACTGTCCCAGATGCAGAAGGTAAAGGTGGGGACTGGGAGAAGGCAGAACCACCCACTGTAGGAAAAGATCAGGATAGAGACTGTCTAAGGAACCTGGAGGTGCACAAGTCCATGGGACCTGATGAGATGCATCTGCAGGTCCTGAAAGAACTGGCAGATGAAGTGACTAAGCCACTAATCATCATGTTTGAGAAGTTGTGGCAGTCCAGCAAATTTCCTGCTCACTGGAAAAGGGGAAACATAACCCCCATTTTTAAAAAAGAAAATAAAGAGGACCCAGAGTACTATAGGCCATTCAGTCTCACCTCTGTGCCCAGCAAGATCACGGAGTGGATCCTCCTGGAAACTATACTAGGGCACATGGAAAATGAGGAGGTGATTGGTGACAGCCAACATGGCTTCACTAAGGGCAAACTGTGCCTAATGAATTTGGTGGCCTTCTACGATGGGGTTACAGCATTGGTGGGTAAGGGAAGAGTAACTGACATCAGCTACTTGGAATTGTGCAAGGCTTTTGACACTGTCCTGACATCCTTGTCTTTCAAATGGAGAGACATGGATTTGGTGGATGGGCCACTCAGTGGTTAAGGAACTGGCTGGATGGTCCCACTCAAAGAGTTGTTGTCAACACCTCAATGTCCAAGTGACAAGTGGCATTCCTCGGGGGTCGGTATTGGGACAAGAGCTGTTTAAGATCTTTGTTGGTGATATGGACAGTGGGATTGAGCGCACCCTCAGCAAGTTCACAGATGGCACCAAGCTGTGTGGTGCGGCTGACATGCTGGAGGGAAGGGATGTTCCATCCAGAGGGACCTGGACAGGCTTGAGAGGTGGGTCTGTGCAAACCTCATGAAGTTCATCAAGGCAAAGTGCAAGGTCCTGCACATGGGTTGAGGCAATCCCAAGCACAAATACAGGCTGGTAATGAGTGGATTGAGAGCAGCCCTGAGAAGGACTTGGGAGTATTGATTGATGGAAAACTGTGATCCAGCCATGTGCACTCACAGCCCAGAAAGCCAACCATAACCTCAGCTGCATCAAGAGAAGTGTGGCCAGCAGGTTGAGGGAGGTGATTCTCCCCCTCTGCTCTGCTCTTGTGAGACCCCACCTGGAGTGCTGTGTCCAGCTCTGGGACACCCAACAGAAGAAGGACATGGACCTGCTCCAGTGGGTCCAGAGGAGGCCATGACGATGATGAGGGGGATGGAGCACCTTTCCTGTGAGGACAGGCTGAGAGAGTTGGGGTTGTTCAGCCTGGAGAAGAGAAGGCTCTGGGGAGACCTTATAACAGCCTTTCAGTACTTACAGGGGGCCCACAGGAAAGATGGAGAGGGACTCTTGATCAGGGAGTGTTGTGATAGAACGAGGGGTAACGGTTGTAAACTGAAAGAGAGTAGATTTAGTTTAGATATAAGGACAAAATTCTTTACTGTGAGGGTGGTGAGACACTGGAACAAGTTGCCCAGAGAGGTTGTGAATGCCCCCTCCCTGGAAGTGTTCAAGGCCAGGCTGGATGGGGATTTGAGCAACCTGATCTAGTGGAAGGTGTCCCCATGGCAGGGGGATTAGAACTAGATGATCTTTAAGGTCCCTTCCAACCCAAACCGTTCTATGATTCTGTGGTATGATTCTATGATTTTGGCTGCAAGTATATGTCCTCTTTTATGTGTGTGGCCATGAGTGCCTATGAGAGTTTCCATTTAAGGAGAGATTAGAAATGCATGGGCTTTTGTCTGTGGGAAATAAGAGGATGTAGTATACCATGTACCATTCTGAATCATTCATGGAAGGCCGGTAAAGGCATTTAATTTTATTAATCCTGCTTGTGGTATTAAAACAGATTTCAGTGCAAATACATTTCTAATGGATTTAAATACATTATTTTTACATGTGTCATTAACTTGTGGAACTTTCTTCTGTGGAGTACTAATGAACATGGCTTATGAAACTTCAAGTCATAAAGACTAGTAGCATCTGTGGTATTTATAGCTGTAAGATACAAATTCAGGGCTTTCTGTTTTCATTTTTCATGCCATAAAATAATCAACTTCTGAGTGTCAGTAACAAGTGACAAGAAAGAATGACACAGTCTGATATGGAATAGGTTTTATTACCTTCCTCTGATGAATATATTGGAGTTAATATATTGGAGACAAGACACTCTTCACATTCTGATTTTCTGTAATTAACATAGCAGTATTGATTAGCTTAACAAACTGTGGGTCATAAGGGGAAAAAATGAATAAAACTGCAATTCTAGTTCATGGTCACATCTATATATTTTCACATTTGCTTATTTTGAAACAATGGAGAAATAATCTGTTTTGGCATAGGCATTAATAGGCTGATAATTGCAAGGTAGAAAACCTTTTTCTGTTTCTCCCGAAGGCATTTATAGATAGTAAAGTTCAACTGATGAGTTGATTTGCTGCTGATCTAAGTCAATGTTAAGTGAAAGAAGATTCATCTCCATATGCACCTCACTGCAGCAGCTGGGATCTGAGTGTGTGGGTTATAGGAGTAGCAAAAGGGCAAGCCAGGACTGCAGTGTCAGGATTTGCTTTCCTGGAGACCAATGCTGTTTCCTCACAGGAATTCTTTTTTTTTTTTTTTGACCTGAGGCTTCACTTCCATCAGAGAACTGTTTCCTTTACGGGCCTCTCTGTGAGGTCTGGAAAAAGTGTGCAGGTAACTCTTCTCCCCTGGAGTGTAAGGGCTTTACAAAATGTGGTTCTTGTAGGTTTTTTTAATGACCTCAGTGGAAAGGAGCATGCCTGGAAAACTGCACCCTGCAGTGCTCTTTTTGTATATTTCTACCCTCCTTTTGTGGTTTTTATCATCCTCACTTGTCTTATGTTGAAATACACAGCCCAGAAAGAACTGTGTCAGCTGCATTTGTGGGACACCTCATCCATGCATGTACACTGCTGAAATGCAATAGGAGAAAATCGAAAACTCCCTCCTATTAGACCAGTAAAGAGCAGGAAATAATTGAAAAAGACTTGCTTGTGCTTCTCTCCACTATATTTAAAAAAAATTGGACATTTGTGAATAATGTGCTTTGTGGTTCACTGAACCCAGAACAAGTACATTGTCTAAGCCACTCAGAGTAAGGATTTTAAACAATGACGCAGCAAGGAGCTGTCGTTCTGCTGTACTCATTGTCAGAGTTAACTGGTTTTGTATTGAATGGTGATGTCTCTAGTCCTTTTGTCTACCTCATTCAAAATCAAGACCTCCTAAAGGACAGAAATAGTAACTAGCATATGGAGCTGGAGTGGGAATTGTGCAAAATTTATGTAGTCGGTGAAGTAAAGCACTCTCTGAGAGGTTTGTGGTATTCTCTTTACTGGGAAGCAGCTCTGTGTTCTTAGAAGGTGTCATAGAGGCATGTGAAATTTTCAAGCAGAAGGATTTTTTTTCTATTCCTCATCTAGAAGAAACATTTGTAGAGAAAACATGAAAAATCTTTGTTTTGTGTTCTGTTCTTCAGCAAATATTTCAGTGATAAGAAAGCAGTGATCAGGATCTGAAGTGGTAAAAACATCCTTGCAAAATTTTACAAAATACTAAGTGCTTTTACTCAGTAGAAATGTGACTGTTAACATTGTGTCTTTACACCTTCACTGGTTAGAATTTGATCCTGAATTTCAGTGTGAACAGGCCTAGGTCATCCTTAGTGTCTTCTGGGCATGAGAAAAACTTTTATAAATGTCTGTTCCTGTTGAAACTGTATGAATATCCAAGGATGCTTGGCTGTGTGCCTCTAAAATAGTTATTTCCTTGCAGTTTGTGCTGGGTCTTTTGTTTTACCCACAAGGTTTGGTTGGGTTTTTTTTTGTTTTGTTTTTTCCTACCTTATTTTCTTTCCCCTCTTTGCCCTGTTGATAAAAAAGGGGGAAGGGGGGAGAAGTGATAGGCTTGGCGGGTACCTGGCATTTAGACAAGGTCAAACCACCACACAGTCTTACAGGATTGACTTGTGGGGGATTGGGTGGAGATAGTAAGAGCTTCTATATGAGATGAAGCAGGGTAAGTGGGGCACACATATTGCTTTATCACATGGAAATTTAAAAGGGAAAGTAAAGTCAGCACAGCCAGAGTCCTTTTCTGACAGAACCACTTCTCAAGAGTGAAGCAGACCACCATGTGTAGAGGGACTCTGTTTCAGGGGTCTGAACCATGATATGAGGGACTAAACAAGGAGGCTGGTGATCTCAGAAGCAATTCCCCCTTGAAGCAGGGATACCTTCTTGACTTCCCTGAAGACTAAAGAGCAGGCACAGGGTCAATTCTACTTTCCTGACTGAAGAAACTGGAAGCTGCTTTGTGAGGAGTACCTCTTGGAGAAGGATTTCACTGAGGGGATTGTGGCAGAACATTTCTAGTTATGGTAGGAGACAGCTCACAAATGCCAGCTTTGCAGAGTCTGCTCTTCCCTCTCCTTCATCTGTGTTTGTTTGAAGTCTCTCATTCTCAAAAGATCAAACAAAAGCCATGTTCTTGTAAAATGCTACTTTCTAAACTATAATTATTTCAGACTTTCCAGAGTTGATTCACATGGTGAAAGAGGCTACCTTTACAAAACCCATTCAGCGATTTACTAGCACTTCACACCTGAAGACTTTTTCAGTTCCAAGCTTCTAGTGTGTTTGTTTTCAGCTTGCTTTAAATAAACAAACAAAATAATCTTCCAAAATAGGGGTCTGCCTCTAAAAGCACCTTCAAGGAGCTTTACAGTTCGTTCTGCTTTTTGAGTCTAAGCTGTTGTTGCCTTATGTCTCAGCTGCAAGAAGTTGAGTGTTGATTTCTAAGCACATTGTTTTTTGGGGAAAATAAAGCAAGGCAGAGCTAGCCTCTAAATCGAGTAAATAAGTTTGTATCAGTTCTGCTGTAGAGTGGAAAACAAGCAAGGCAGTTGTCTTCCAGGCTGTAGTAAGAAAGTATTCTCTGCAGGCAGTATAAGAATTAAGTGACATTACCTGCTGTTTAGTACCTCATTTCTTTTAATTCTGGAATCATACTTGCATTCTCCCTGCAATCCTTCATAGGGTAGTTTTCATGGAGAAATTAATTCTCTATAATCTCTTAGATGGTAAAAAGATTAAATACTTCAGGCTCCGTTTTTCTTTCTGTGTAGCTTCAGTTTCAAGTTATAGCTGAGATGGATAGTGAGGCATTACAGGGTCAGTGTAAGCACAAAGGCTCCTGCTAGGGAAGTCAGCCTTCAAGTAGGTTTGCTGTATCCAGCTAAGATAGCTTGTCAATATGCCAAAGCAAAAGAAAACACAATTTTCTAGTAGTTGTAACTACTTATTTAAAATACCAGACTCTTAAAGCCAGCACTGTTGCGCAGTAAGGTGTAATACTGCTGAGAAATGCATAGATTTTCTTAGGTTTTTATCACACAGAGCTTGATGCTGATACCACAGATGGAGATGAAGCTGCTCACATTCTTCCCCACACCAGATTAGATATAGAAAAATCTAAAAAGAATCTACAAAGTGGAAACATACTTGTTTTGGACCAATTGAAATGCTTTATATTGATTTTTGACTGTATTTTATTTTCTAAGTACCCTTAGCACCTACATCTGCAGAACTTTTAGAGCGGTACTTTTTTTTTTTTTAATTGGAAAAACTGTAATTTTCCATATAAAATGTCAGCAGACTTCTAGAGCTGAGAGTCTGTTCATAATTCTCCTGGTTTAGAAAATAATTTTTATTTAAATGAAGCAAAAATTTCAGGCGATAAATAAATAAATCACTGGAAAAAATTCAAAGTAATTTATAGTCAACCAAATTATTCCTGAAATGCACTTCTTTGAAGAAAACCAGAATGATTACTCTCATGTCACAACTGTGAGATTCATAGAATGTAGTCTACAATGGTTAGGAACGTTACAGATCCCAAAGAAGTGATGAAAAAGCAAAGGATAAATTTGCTAAACTGTGCGCATAGAAGTTCTTATTTTTCTCTGTATGTTAAATGTTTTGACAGTGATGACAACTATTTTAAGATGTTATTAATGATATATATTCACCTTAGTATATGGTACCTGAACAGTCCAAGTTTCAAAGCTGCAGAAGTGGCTGGACAAGGCTGATTTTGATCATTAGTCCCATAGTGAAGAATGTGTCTCATCTTCTTCATGTCTGTTTTTCTGCCTTTCAGATAGAGGAATTTCGTAGACTGAGGACACATGTTAAAGGTGCTGAACTTTTAGAGGGCTGTGATGGAATCCTAGGAGATAACTTCAGACCAACTCAGCCACTTAGCGATAGAGTCATCAGGGCTGCATTTCAGTAGCAGAAGAACAGCAAAATAAATCTTTATTTAGGTAAGTAAAAGCTTAGAAGAAAAAACATTGAAATAATTTTCATAGGGGAGATTTAGCTAAAGCAGAAAATTAACTGAGTTCTTTTCAGCTAATGTTATGATATATTGTCACAATTGTAAATTTTGACACTGTACTGTTTTATTTTGTCCTGTGGTATAATAATTTGGTTACTATTGGTTCTTTAGTGGCTGGAACAGTTTGGCTACTCTTAGGTTCTTCAGTGGCTGGAATCTAATACGCTATATAGTGAATGGAAATATTTGTATTGACTTCAGTAGGCAGTGGATCACGCACAGTTAGATCACAATTACTTCTTGTAGCTTCAAATTTCTCCTACTGCAGTGAGCAACAGCACAGTATGCCTAGGTTATGTGGTAGATTTCCCCAGTTACCGAGGTTCACTGATTGATTTCTTACCATGTTTTTAGAAGACCAATCATTGGTGAATCTTCCTAGTTTTATCTGTTAAAAAACAGCTAGTAGTTCTGGAAGAAGGCCTTTAAATCTTAAAGGAGGCTGCCTATTTTTTTGATACCTTCTTCTTGTTTTAGAACATTATTCTTTACCAACAAGACTGAATCTTGGGCAAAACTAATGCAGATACAAGAAGAAACTATTTACTTTTTGTCATGGATAATTTTTCATTTTTCAGTCATCAAAGTAGTTGCTGCTACTTGTCCTCAGCAGTATTTTCAGCCTTCATTGGCTCACAGAGCAAGAACTAAAGGATGATGTTGGATTCAATGTTTAAGAGCTAGTATACGTGTGAACCTGCATTATCCCCACTTCAGTTATTAAAACCTGTGTCATTAAAACCTGTAAATGCTGTGTCATGTTCCCCTAGCCTCTCACAGTTACAGGACAAATTTGCTCAATGTTCAACAGTTATTCCTAAACCTCATTATACTTAGTTAATCAATGTTTTAGAATAATGAAAAACCTGGTAATGGGATTCTTAGAGAACTAAAGAAAATTTGCTATCAAGACAACTAGTTACGTTGAAAGTAGTGAGTCAAGACACCAAAATTTGTGGTTGTTTTTTTAAATAACTTTGATACAAATAGTAAGACAGCTAATCTGGGAAGTCTTCAAGAAAAGAATGAATCTGTTCACTTACTTTCTTTAATATTTCCTACTACTATTTAACATAGTAAAGTTTTTATCCACTATCCTACTATAAAACTTATTTAAATAATAAAAATGATGGGGTACTACCCATTACCCTATTTATATAAAAGCATCAGGTTTTCTATCTGCACATTTAGAATGATAGAATGGTTTGGCTTGGAAGGAACCTTAAAGATCATCTAGTTCCAATTCAAGGACACCTTCCACTAGACCCAGTTACTCCATCCAACCTGGCCTTCAACACTACCAGGGAGGGGGCATCCACAAATTCTTTGGGCAACCTCTTCCAGTGCGTCACCACCCTCACAGTAAGAATTTCTTCCTTATATTAATCTAAATCTATCGTCTTCCAGTTTAAAACTGTTACCCCTCATCCTATCACTACACTCCCTAATAAAGAGTCTCTCCCCATCTTTCCTATAACCCCCTTTAAGTACTGGGAGGCTGCTATAAGGTCTCCCCAGAGCCTTCTCTTCCCCAGGCTGAACAGCCCCAACTCTCTCATCCTGTCCTCTTAGGGGAGGTGCTGCAGCCCCCTGATCATCTTCAAAGCCATATTCTTGCAAGTGAACCACTTCATCCAGAGTTTTACCTGGAAGCATACTGCTGAAAGGTTTTTAATAAACAATTTTGGGTAAGGACATTTATTTCTACATTAAATTCTTGCCCTATCTAGGTCAATGATGGAACTCCTTAATTCACATCAGGCTCTTGTGGAGTTAAGCCTCTTCAGACCATGCTCTGGGTCCAGCCCACAACTTCATATGAAGTTAACAAATGATCGGGCAGCAGATAACCCCTAAAGGAGATTGATAATTCAGTGCTTCCAAAAATGGATCCATTAAAGCTGAGCGGGAAGATTATTTTTCCTCCTGCATGTGTCAGAAATTATTAAATGGGCTGGGACAGTGTCCAACCATTTCATGATCCTTCCATATAGCATAAGCATTCAATATAGTATATGCATCTAAAAATTTCTGAAGTAAGGGTTATTTGTATTTTATAAGCCTATTTAATATCTGCATCCCAGAAGTTAAGCAAAGAAAGCAAAACATTGGTACTTTTATTAATACTGTTTTCTTATTCCCATATTTAATTTTGGGCACATCCCTAAGCTCAATTCTCAATTACATGGTTCTCTGCAGTCACCAAATGTCATCACTTTAATCTTGAAATGGATGTTTCAAATTCATCTCAGTTTCTGCATAAAAATTACTTGGGAAAATCATAGCGATATTAAAGTACAGTTTTTCTCAGAGAGTGAATAATGCCCTCAGGCCAGTGGAGGTAATTCAAGCCTGTAACAGTGAAATTACTTGACACGCTGAGTTTGAATTTTAAGCATGAAAGAGTTTCCTTTACAATGCTGGAATTGAAATGTAAAAATTTCCCCTTTGCTTTCATGTTTGAAATTTTATTGCATTTGTCAATACTTACAAAGATTTGTTTTAAATAATAAGATTTATCTTGGCCAAGCTTCACAAAATAATCTGCAGTTTTAATTCCCAAATGATCAAATTTTTAATGTAAAATGATAGTCCTCACTGTAGGGCTATGCTAATTACGGACTCTCAAGCACTGAAAAAGAACTTTGAGTTCAGGCATTATGTAGCCCACAGAAGAAATGGCACTTGGCTCTCTACACCTGATTGCATTATTTATCAGAAATTCATTTGGCCAGGTTTTCTTTTTAGTTTTGGATGCATTGGTGCAAATAGCACTGAACTAATCAAGGGTTCACAATATGTCCTTGCTATAGGGTTTGTCTCTGGGCAGCTGGAAAAATAAAGTGTAAAAAGAAATTGTGTGGCTTTGATCACCTTTCTTCTATGCAAAGCGGGAGAAAGGGAAGAAAAAAATCCTGACTGCTTTTAGTGATTTCCTCACACAGGTCTTTCCAGGAGGGTGTTGAGGAACAGCAGCTCCTCACACAGACCTCAGAGCCTCAGAAAAGACACCTTCCCTTGTTCCTAGGAATGGGAAATGGTCCTTAAGCTGGGACTGCTGACATCAGCTGAATATTACCATGAAGACAGTAGCAGATGGGGAGGTAATACTTTGTAGGGTGACATCTACAGAGTGATCCAAGAGGGAGCATTTCTTCCTTTCAAAGAGGAGATTACCTTTTATTTTAAAGCTTTGGTATGTCCTGAATATTACAATTACAAACACACTGGTGGGCTTTTTTTTTCTGACATGATGCCCCTCTGCCAGGGCTGCTGGAACACCTGTCAGTAAAGTTTTCAGTATTTTCTTTTATTCCAAGCCAGTGTGGTACAGCCACTTGCAGAACCTTGAGGAACATTAGTTTTCCATGACCTCATCACTCAGTTAGGGAAGGAAGGAGACGAGTATTTCCATAAGCGTTGTATACATAGGAGAAGAAAGAGGTTGCTTGGAAGGTCTAATTAGTTTTGACTGAATCGGAATGCATGCCATGTTCACAAATCTTCAGAATATCTATTCTTCAGCCTTGATTTAAACCTTGACAGGACTGAAACCGTTGGGGCTTATGATCAGTTGGCCTATGTTGATCTTTGATGCAATTTGTGCTAGTTTGTCAAATTGAAGGCAGAGTTAACACAAACATGGTATATCATGGTGTGTAACCTGAGGTAAAAAACTGATAAAGAACTATTTTTTTTTTTTTAAATGTTCCTCTATCATGAGAAAGCCCAGATCTCAAAATACCCTCCTCCAGTTCTAGAACAAAATTTGGCCAGGCTCTGAAGGGAGCCTTCAGGAGGACAAAACAGGTAGATCTTGTAGCTTCAGTGCTCTCTTTAATCCAATGGGCTTTAGAATAGGTTTGTTGCTATCTAGTTGGCCTCCTTTGGCTCTGCTTTTCTGCTAAAAATGCATCCCTCTCCCATAGCCTGGGGTTAATGAGTCTTTGGACTCTGTGTGGGTGTTTTTGAAATACATCCCATATAACAGCCTTTACATCCTTTCTCTCCTGCAGTTGCAGAAGTTTTCACATATGTTTCTTTTGAAAAAGCCATTTTTTTTCTTATTTCTACCTTCTTTAAATCATATCTAGTAGTGATAGACCAGTCAGTTGTTAAGGAATTTGGAGGGAAAGTTCAGTACAGATTTGCTTTCAGCTGTGGAAGGTGAAGAAATTGAGTCAATTTTAGACAGTGAAGAACAATAGAATCACAGAATAACTGTGGTTGGAAGTGCTTCTGAAGATCTAAAGGTCCAATTCTCTGCTCAAAGCAGCAGGCTGCTAAGGGCCATGTCTGGCTGGGTTTGGAGTATCATAAGGATGAAGACTCCACAGATTCTTTGAGCAACCTGTACCTATGTTTGACCACCCTTGAAGGGAAAAAGATTTTTAAAAATGTGAAATGAAATTTCCTGTATTTCAATTTGTATACGTTACCTCTTCTCCTTTCACCGGATACCACTGAGGCGTCTGGTGCCATCTTCTATACTTGTTATTATAGTATTATACACATTGATAAGATCCCTCTTGAAACATCTCTTCTTGAGGCTGAACAGTCCCAGCTCTCTCATCCTTTCCTACTATGACAGGTGCTGCTATCCCTTAATCATCTTTGTGACCCGTTCCTGGTCTCACTCTGTTATGTCCATGTTTCTTTTGAATTGGGGAACCCAGAACTGGACCCACTAGTCTAAATGTTTCATCAGTGCTGAGCAGAGGTGAAGGATCATTTCCCCTCACCTGCTGTCAATGTGCTTCCTAGTGCAGCCCAGAAGACTGTTGGCCTTCTTTGTTGCATGGGTGCGTTACTGACTCATGTTAAACTTGTTTACCAGGACTCCCAGATCCTTTTCTGAAAGGAGAGAGAAATGATAACATTGTGACTTTCTCACTGTTACCACTAGGTTTTTTGATAACTTCACAC